GTCCCCTGGAACTGGAGTTACAGTTATTACCTGCCATGTGGGTCCTGGGAATTGAACTCAGACCCTCTGGGAAAGTAGCCAGTGCTCTTAACTGCTGAGCCATTTCTCCAGCCCTCATAACTGTCTACTTGAGGAATCAGTTACAGCACTGGGCCTACATTCTTACACAGCAGTACTGTAGGCTGGAACAGAAAAACACCTATCCATCATCATTGCCATATGAGCCACAGTGGCACTCTGCCCATCACATCCTCATTTCATTTTTGGCTCCCTAGGTGCTGAGTCTACAAACCCTGATGACCTTAAATGTCGAATTCATCTTTCAGCATTAAATGTAATTGTCTTATCACCCTGCTTTGTTTTAAAACAGTACCTTTTAGTAAGTGTGTGTGTATCTGTGTGTGTGTGTGTGTGTGTGTGTCTGTGTGTGTCTGTGTGTGTCTGTGTGTGTCTGTGTGTGTCTGTGTGTGTCTGTGTGTGTCTGTGTGTGTCTGTGTGTGTCTGTGTGTGTCTGTGTGTGTCTGTGTGTGTCTGTGTGTGTCTGTGTGTGTCTGTGTGTGTCTGTGTGTGTCTGTGTGTGTCTGTGTGTCTATCTCCAGACATGCCTGGCTTGTTCAACATCTAAGTGCCAGGGAGTTTTCTTTCTCTTTTTTCACCTTCCTTTTTTTCTTATTCTGTGTTTTGAGACAGGGTTTCTTTGTGTAGCCCTGGCTGTCTAGGAACTCACTCTGTAGATCAGGCTGGCCTCAAACTCAGAGATCCTCCTGATCCACCTGCCTCTGCCTCCCTAGTGCTGGGATTAAAGGTGTGTGCCATTATGCCTGATCATAGGCCTCTTGAGATTTAAGAGAACAACCATACAACAGAAGTCACAGTTCTGCTCTTTTTGTTGTTGTTGTTGGGTTTTTTTGTTTTTGTTTTTTCGAGACAGGGTTTCTCTGTAGGTTTGAAAACTGTCCTGGAACTCTCTTTGAAGACCAGGCTGGCCTCAATCTCACAGAGATCTGCTTGCCTCTGCCTCTGCCTCTGCCTCTGCCTCCTGAGAGCTAGGATTAAAGGCATGCGCCAACACCCAGCTAGTTCTTCTGATCTTAAAATTGAGACTAAATCAATACCAGTATTTTCACTTTGGTAATTAAAGTTTCTGTATTTCAGTTTTGTGTACACAGATGGCAATCCTAGATGAACCAATTTCTTGTCTACTGGCTCCTCCCCTCCAATTCTCTTTCTCAGTACTTCTTTCATGGGAGATAATGCTGGAGAAGAAAGGTCAAAAATAGGCGTGTCCTGTTTTGCAGTTCACAAGAAGGTGAGGGAGTTGAGCAGAGGTCAAGACTCTGAGGATCTCTGTAGCTCTTTTCTGTGCTTTGTGTGCTAGTAGGGGCAGAGTTGAGTTGGCACAAGTTCACAAGTATCACCCTGGGGCCACACTACTCTTGTCAGCAGAAAATATAATGCACATTAAACCCATTAGCAGACTAATGTTAGAGAGGGAGCCTTGGGTAAGCGTCTGTCATTAAGAGCATGTAGCAGCTAGCGATATCTGATTGGCGTGTATGAAGTCCTGGATTCAGCCCAGCACTGGAAAAAAAAATACATATATATATATGTATTTTTCGATTACATATATATATGTAAAAATCGAAAAGAACCCAGGCCTGGTGATACAAACCAGCAATCCTGGAACCCTGGAGATAGAGGCAAGAGAATCAGAAGTTCAGGCCCATTCTTGGCTTTGAATCAAGTTCAGTATGCTGGGCTTCGTTTGTTTTGTTTTGTTTTTTTTTTTTTTTTTTTTGAAGATGGGGAGGTGTTGCTGGAGAAATAGCTTAGTGGTTAAGAGTATTTATTGCTCTTGCAGAGAGCTTGGATTTGGTTCCCAGCATCCACATGGTGGCTCAAACCGTCCCTAACTCCAGTTCCAGGGATTTCAGTGCCCTTTTCTGAACTCTTCAGGCACCAGGCACACATGTGGTGCACAGACATCCATGTAGGCAAAACATACAGATAAAAAGTGTAAAATGTTAAATGATGGTTCTAGCTCAGTAGGTAAAGACACATGCCACTGTTCCTGGCAACCTAAGTTCCATCCTGGGGGGCCATGTGGTAGAAGAAAAAAACAACTCTCACTAGTTGTCCCCTGATCTCTACACTCACGGCATGGCTCCTGTACACCCACCACACACATACACACAAATTAAAAGTGTGACTTAAAAAATAGCAAAACAACATGAGACATATAGCTAGGTGTGGTGATCCATGCCTATAATCTCAGATCACAGGAAGCTGAGCCAGGAGGATCTCAAATTACAAACCAAAACCCTGTCTCAAAGCACAGGGGACTAGAGAGATCACTCAGTGGCTGCTCCCAACACCCTCATGGCGGATCACAGCCAGCTGTCACTCCAGTCCCAGGGAACCCAATTCCTTCTTCTAGCTTCCTAGGGCACTGCACACATGTGCACACACACATATGTAGGCAAAACACCTAGACACAATATAAGAAAATAAATTTAAAAGCAAATGAGCCATAGCATGTCTGCACTTTCTACTGCATGGTGACAAATCTGGATTTATGTAGTGGCATTAGGCAGTAGTATTCATCTTTCTCAGAAAAGAGATTTATTTAGCTCAGTCTAGCTCAAGGACATGGGGTTAGCACTTCTCTCAAATGAGGTGTGTTGTCTGTGTCACCTGGTGGTGGTGCCAAGGGGACCCACTAGCAAAAGGAAGAGAACACTGGGAGATGAAGAGACAGGAAAGAGTTCCTTCACCATTCATTCATTCATTCATTCATTCATTCATATTCTCTTTCCTCTCCCTCCCAGCTGACCTCAAATTCAACCTTGGCTCCCTAGAAGGACTGTTCCCTTTTTATTTTATTTTTTTTTTGGGGGGGGTGGTGGTTCCAAGACAGGGTTTCTCAGTGTAGCTCTGACTCTCCTGGAGCTTGCTCTATAGACCAGGCTGGCCTTGAATTTAGAAATCCAACTGCCTCTGCCTCTTGGGTGCTGGAATTAAAGGACTGTCCCTTAAAACAGCCTGCCCTCGAGAAAATGGAGTTCCATGAGAACAGCCAATCCCTCCCCCGTGGCTTCTCCCATCTCAGCCTTACACACTGGGACCAAGCTTCAAAAACACAAATATTTGGGGGATACATTCAAATTATAGCCTACAAATCCTAGCATAGTCAGTCTGTAGATGAGCCTGCATGTGTTCACTGAGTTCCTGGGATTGAACACTATGGAATGTGATTGTGAATGGATGCTCTGACAGTGTACCCTAGAGTGTCAGCAACCATACAGTTAAATAATTAGTGCTGAGCTCCTCCGCCTTCACAGCTGTGTGTCACCTTGCTATGAAGGACAAATGAAGAACATGCAGGTGTGTGATGTAGTAATTGGCAGCGGCAATGGCATCAAAGATTTTAGTGTCCAGTGAGGATATCCTGTTTCAGACATTACGGCATTAGATCACGGGAGTATTTCACTAATTCAGGTGTGTGGTACCTGTTTATAGGGCCTTCCTACAATGAGTTTCCCAATTTGCCCAGGCTCTTCTCACCCTTTCTTAAATATTACTCTACTACTCAACAGCAATTGAGTTTGTAAGTCTGTATGCATTGCTGCCATTAATAAATTAAAACTTGGCATTGCTTTTTTAACAATAAGAATATTCTTTTCATTCACTCAGTAACGTTACAGAGTAGGCTTTGGAAGGGCAGTGGTGGCACACGCCTTTAATCCCAGCATTTGGGAGGCAGAGGCAGGCAGAACTCTATGAATTTGAGACCAGCCTAGTCTACAGAGAAAGTTCCAGTACAGCCAGGGCTACCCAGAGAAAACTCTCCCCCCGCCCCCCCAAAAATTAGCTTTGTAAGGAGGGCTGAGACAGAAGGATTGTAGTTTTGTGGATAGACACTTCTGCATAGTAAAATCCTGCCCCACCCCCAACGTTGTTTTTTGTTTATTTTTGAGAAATGGTTTCACAATAGATAACCCCAGACTAGTCTGGAACTGGTGATTTCCTGCCTCTGGCTCCTGAGGCTGTAGATAACCATCTTGTCCCAATTTCTTAAAAAGCCATTCCCTCCCCCAAAAGATTTGTTTATTTTTATGTGTCTGAGTATTTTCCTGCATGTATGTGTGTGCCCTGTATGCAAACCTGGTGCAGGTGGTTGTGAGCTGCATGTGGCAATTGAGAATCAAACCCTGGTCCCCTCAGGAGCACTCCCACCCTGGTCCCCTCAGGAGCACTCCCGCCCTGGTCCCCTCAGGAGCACTCCCACCATCTCTACAGTTATTCATTTGTTTGTCCTTTGGGTTTTTTGTTTTTGTTTTTTTGAGACAAGGTTTCTCTGTAGCTTTGGAGCCTGTCCTGGATCAGGCTGGCCTCAAACTCGCAGAGATTCTCCTGCCTCTGCCTCCTGGGTGCTGGGATTAAAGGTGTGCGCCACCACCAACATCTGGCTCAGTTACTTATTTGTTTGTGGGCATACAAATGTGGGGATCAGAGTTTATTCTCTTCTTCCACTATTTGGGTTCCAGGGATCAAGCTAAGGTTGTCAGGCTTGGCAGCAAGCCCCTTCACTCCCTGAGCCATCTTGCCTCCCCCACAACCGTTTTCTAAAAGCACACACTTGCACTGCTTGCTGAGTGTATAATGGCTACATTTTTGCTAAGAACCTGCTTAGAAATCTGTCAGTGTATGGTTGATGCCGGTACAGCTGCTGCCTACATAAGCAAGATCCTGGGCTCCAGCTGTTATTACTGCAAAGGGGGATTAAGTGAGAAGAAGACATCAGCAGGGTAATTCTCAGTTCACTGCCTGTGGATTTGGAAAGAACTTCTTAAAAACACGGAGACATCAGTATGGACTTTATAAGCATTCTGCAAGGCTCTAATGCAGGGTGATTTGGAACACGACAAGATGCCCCTTTACTAAGGATCAGCACTCGAAAAAAGGGAAAGGGTCTTGTCTTCTGGCTTCCAGCTCCTGCTTTATTTTCTGGGTACACTGAAGAACCGAGGTCTGATGTAATCCTTGTACATAGAGTGGAGAACCCCTGGGATAGAAAGATGTCATATCAGTCATGTCCGTGAGAAGCAAACACTGACATTTCCCACATGCTGAAACTAGCACAGTATTGCAAAATAGAGGGGCAAACAAACACCTCTCAGGAAGCTTTGGTTCGTGCAGAGGCTGCAAAACCAAGCAACACTTAGTCATTTAAGTCAGTGTTGACACAGGTGCGCACACACACAATAAACTCATAAAAGTGCAAATTCTGTAATTTTTTTAAATTTAAAAGTCAATATTACTATGAAGTTTGGCTGTCACAACACCATCCTCAAGTTTATATTTTTATTTTGTTTGTATTTTGAGACAGGGTTTCTCTGTGTACCTCTGGCTGTCCTGGAACTCACTATATAGACCAGGCTGACTCTGAACTAGAGATCCTCCTGCCTCTGCCTCCCAAGTGCTGGACTTAAGGTGTGGCTAACATGGTGACACATGCCAGCAGTCTTAGCACTTGGCAGACAGAGGCAGGAGGATCTGTTCAGTGTAGTCTTTAGCCGCACAGTGGTTGCAGGCCAGCTTAAGGTCCATGAAATTCTGTCTCAAAAAAAAAAAAAAAAAAAAAGAACAAAGCAAATCCTGGGAAATGCTAGGCAAGTTTGATCAGATACAGGCATCTTAATTAAGCAGTCATATATTCAGTATCTGCCTGTGCTCAGCATCTCAAGGAACAGGTGACTGGATGGACCCTGCTCTGGGATCATAGCCAGTGGGGGAATTAGCTGTGAGGAGTAGATGCTGATTGTGGCTTCCACAAGGTCCTAGGGCTGTGTTGAGGGAGGGAGAGGGGGTACTTCGTGAACTCCTGGCATCCATGCCCAAAAGCAAGAGGAGGCAGAGGACTGAGCAGTATTCTCATCACCATCCTATCTCCCTGTCAAGGCATTGGGTACCTAGTTACCTAAATCGTTCACTTCCCCCACTGTTGTCTTCCTAGGGTGCTCAGAGGATAAAGGCTCTGTGAATTCTTCTTGTAGCTCAGTTAACATGATAGTTACCTGAGGCTAAAGCTGCAAAAACCAGAATTGATGCATAGAATTCAAGCCAAAGTATTTTCCTTTCAGCTGAAATCACTGTAACTGACACAACATTCTTAGAGCTGTAGAAGTGGCTAAGAATGTTTGCCTAGCATGCACAAAGCCCTGGATTTGGTCCCCAACACCACACACACCAAGCATGGTGGCACACGCTTGTTTTCCCGGTATTCGGAAGGCAGAGGCAGGAATGTGGAGATCAGTCATCCTTAGCTGCACGGGATTTGAGGCCAGCATTGGATTGTCAGACTGTCTCAACACATAAGTAAATAAAACCTCTGGTTGATGGAAAGTTCTGGACTCATTTCTTTTGTCTTGTTAGAGACGAATCCTTCCCTTACCAACTATCTCCCTGAAGTTATAGTCTCTGTCATCACAGCTCACTGACCTGTTGCTTCACTGGTAAGCTAGTTAGTTAGTTCTCTAAGCAAGATCTAAGAGTGTGGCGTCCTTATTTCTGTACAACATGACAGCTCCATATACAACAGCAACCCCCAAGCTTCTTATCACATTTAATTTTTGTTTGTGTGTTTGTGCGTGTGAGAGCAGGCATGCTTGCACCACAGCCCATGTGTGGAGGTCAGAAGAGCCTCGGGTGTTGCTTCTCCACTTCTACTTTGAGACAGGGTCTCTCTGTTGTCAGACCCTGTGTACACCAGGCTAGCTGGCCAACCAGTTTCCTGAGGTTCTCTCTCCAGCTCCCATCTCACCACAGGCACACTGGGGTTATAGATGTGCTCATTGCACCCAGCTTTATGCAAGTTCTGGGAATCTGAACTCAGTTCTCAATGTGTAGCACGCACTTTACTATTAAGCCATCTCCTTGCCTCTCCCAGCTTTTAAATTGTGTGTAAAGAGATGCATTGAATATGCCCTGAAAATGTGTGTGTTTTGAGACAAGGTTTTGATGTGGAACCCAGATTCAGACTGACCTTAAACTGGTAGCCTCCTGTCTTAGAGTTTCAAGTGCTGGTATTATAAGCTTGTGATTTATTTTTAACTATAAATTTAATATAAGCAGTCCACATATTAGCAAATTATTATTATTATGGTTTTTCAAGACAGGGTTTCTTTATGTAATAGACCTGGCTGTCCTGGAACTTGCTTTGTAGACCAGGCTGGCCTCGAACTCACAGAGAACCGCCTCCCTCTGCCTCCCAAGTACTGGGATTAAAGGCATGTACCACCAATGCCCGGCCACATTATTATTTATTTTAACCTGTTTCCTCTTGAGACAGGACCTGGTTGTCTTGCCCGGTATAGCCTCTAACTCCAAACTCAAGAGGGAGGACAGGCAGGGTCTTCCACATCTGGCTAGGTTTTATTTCCAAGAGACGGGGTTTTCTTCCCACATCCCTAAGGGCCTCCTTATACAAAGGGTATGAGTGCCTGTGCTCTAAGGGTTTGTTGGGATCTCACACAGCCCAGACCGACCTTGAACTTGCTACGTAGCTTGAGATGACATTGAATATCTGATAATTCTGCCTCCACCTACTGAGTGCTAGGATTATAGGTATGAGCCACTATGCATGGTTTTTATGCCATGTTAGGTTTGAAGCCCAGGGCTTCTTATATTCTCTGCAAGTGCCATACTAGCAGGGCTCTCTCCCTAGCCGTGGAGACATTTTGAATAGGGATTTCAGTCAGTATACTGTGAGACTAAAAGTTTGAATCTAAAGTGATTGTCCTGTGACTATGGACAAAAAAAAACATTTTTTTCTTCTCTAAGTCTCAGGTTCCCAGTCTGTGCAATGAGATAACGGTGCCTATCTTAGAGTAGATTTGATGGGTCATCGTATGATGAAGACTGACTTGTCCTTGTCTCAGAGATGGCACTAGCTTCTAAAAAGCTTGTAACTGCTGGAAAAATAACAGTGTCTGTTATTGCTAAGCCTCTCGGGTCATACCAGAGGCTTATGCCATGAGAATACAGCTGGCATTGGAGGTAGCAGGGAACCTGACACTTCAGCTCCAGGGCTTGTGGTCAGGACTGAGTTGAATCCCAGCAGAGCAGATGGACTCTGAAGAGGTGTGGTTAAGAGTAAAGCATTAATGGCAGCAGAGGGGTGGGTCAGGAAAATGTGGTGTATTTACACAATAGAGCTGTTTACACACACACACACACACACACACACACACACACACACACACACACACACAGCAGGAAAGAAGACGGAAGTCTGACCAGGGAACAAAGGGGACTAAAGAGGGGGGAGGCCTGGGAGGGCAGGGGAGAGCATGCTTCCTATCTTCTATAAGGGTGTACTTGTATGGAACCCTGAAGATGCACTAAGGTAATGATGCATAAGTTAGGGTGGTTGGCAGGGGAGGGGTGGGGCAGGGTGGCATTCATAGTGCTCACTGTACTGTTCTGTCTGCTCAACTTACTGTCCCTGAGCCTTGACCTTTGTTCTTCATTCTCTGGATGAGGGAAGGACAGATCATTTCTTTGTACTAGCCAGGTATTTGGGAATCATGTGTTTGTTTGTTTATCGTGTGTGTTCATGTGTGGATTCTCTCCTTCCACCATGTGGGTCTGGCAAACAGTTGTCTTTACCCGCTGAGCCATGTCGCCTGCTTGGGAATCATGGCTGATTTCTCTTTTCTTTCCCCAGTCACTAGGTAGATACATTATAGTTTCAGTTTTACAGAAGTCATTTCATGCTCCAAGAAGATCTGTCTTCTACCAAATAAACTATATGGGGATGTGTTAGGAACATCACTGATGTCCCTAAAGCCCTTGATGAAGGCACTCAATCTCCAGTGTCCCTCTAGAAATGCGGTGACACTTGGCTTACCATTTTGGAAGAAGCAAGCAGTTAGAAGGCATCCACTTGGTTCTCTACCATAGAGGCTCTTGCTTCACAGGCCAGGGGACCAATGTGGGAACTCTGATAAGTGCTGGGGAGACAGCTCAGCAGGTGAGGGCATCTGCCTCACAAGCCCAGTGACCTCAGAAACCATGAAAGGTGTACAGAGAGAACCACTCTACAGAGTCGTCCTCCACACGCGTGCCATGTGTCACACATGCCATATATGCATACTCCCATGCACACGTCACACACAACAATGCTAGATTGTGGAAGAATCCTGAAAGTTTCTGAGCATATATATCTATTCCAATGACACATTCCAGAATTAGAGAATAACATGGTCGGGGCAGGAAACAGCAGGCTGTGCGTGAAACAGACCCTCTGCAAAACACACGACCTCTATGAACTCTTATTTTGAATGGCACTTCACTGTGATTCTGCCACAGCAGGGTCTGTCAGCTGACAGCCAGTATTCTTCCCACCCAGAATAGTGTGGTTATCTTCTCTTGGTGCACAGGCTTCCTGGCAAATGGCTACAGGTCTCTTTGGGGAAAGCTAGAGAGATGATTATAATACATTTGTTCATACATAGATGTGTATATACGTACACATGTTATATGTTTATATGCGTGTGTGTGTGTGTGTGTGTGTGTGTGTGTGTAAAACATAAGTATTTTGGGATATGTGCAATATATCCCCTTTGGGGCCAGAGCTCCCTGCTCTGAGCTTTAAGTTCAAGCCTAGCCTTTTCTGCTTCTGTAATGCCCCCACTTTCAGTTCTAGGGCCTTGTAGCCAGTGTCCACACCATAACCAGTGCCCCCACTGTGACCAGGGCCCCAACTTTGAGTTCTAGGGCCACCATACCCAGGGCCTGGGATCTCTGTGGCTTACAGGCCTCATCCGTGTTTGGACTGTGCCAAGCACAACAATCAAGCACCCTTGTCTTTGCCAATCAGATGTTACCAGAGACCCAGTTTAAGATTAGCATCTCTCTGCCCCTCTTGAATCCAGGAAGGCCAGCCACTCACTGCAGCATTCTCAAAATAAAAGAGTGCTATCAGGACTTGGGAAGGGTGCCAGGGCTACTTGTACATGGGCATTTCCTCCCCGTGGCAGAGGGGGCGGATAGACTCAGGGAGGCAGTAAGTCCCTCCGGCAGTCTAGCTCCCTCGTACTCTGGCTGCCTGTCTGGATGGCAGTTTCTCAGCCTCAGTGCTGAGATCTAAATTGCATTTAGCTGAGGCTAAATTGCATTTGTTCCAGGTTGCCTTGTACTCTGCAGGCTAGCTGCCAGCATCCCTACAATGCTGGTAGAATTTCCTTCTGCCCCTGCCTTCTACTCCCAACAGGGCAAACAAAAATGCCCCCATACATTACCAGATTAGAGTTTCCCAGTGGAGCAAACTGCCTATCACTTCCCAAAGGCCCATGGGGCCAACCAAGCCATGAGCTTTTGGAGACTCTTCATATCTAACCTGTGACATTTGGTAATAAGAGGACCAAACAGTGAGCACACCAAGGCCTTTGTCACTTATGCCACCATGGAGTGGCTGGAGGCAGCCATGAACGTAAGGACACGGAAGATGCCCAGAAGGGTTGTAGAGCCAGAGTCTGCTCAAGAGAAGATTCTCAGAGACCGAGTACCCACTGAACTGTGAAAAAGAGCTTTGTTGGTGACACTAAAAACATGAAGACTGACACCCAAGAGATCATTTTTCAAAAGTTGGGAGCAACCGACTCAGAGGTGGCAAGAAGAGGGGCTTTGCTTTTGTGAAATTCAAAGCCTACACCTGTGACTAGCCAAAGCAGCTCTGGAAACCTAAGCTGTTGCCATTGAAGTGGAGTTTGTGGGTAATGACAGCTTTGCCAGTGTGGCTTTGGTGGATGGTCTGGTAACAATGGAGGCAGGTTTGGCATGGGTGGGGTACAACAATAGCTTGTGGAATGACAACAATCAAATCTTCAGGCTTGGGAGCCACAAAGACAGAAAACCCGAGCACTGTGGTCTGGAGGCCACAGTGACCAGTGCCTCTCTCAGCAGGAGAGGCAGCTTCAGCTGTGGTGGGAGGTTCTCATTATTGCAGGAAACAAAGCTAGCTGGAGAGGAGAGCCAGAAAGTGGCACGGAGCCCAGTTTCCATGTACCGGCCTTGTTGCTGCAAAGGTACGTTTTAGATTAGTTACTCCTGGGCAAAATCTTCAAGGTCTGGACTGCGACCAGTGCAGTCTGATAGTGATGTCTTTTAATGTGCCTCTCTAGACTGTACCACGTCAAGTTAGTGTGTTCTGAGCCATCTTGGTACACTTCTCCCTGGTGAGAATTGTAGGGTTCTCTTGGGGTTCTGCCAGGTTTCATTGGAAATTGAGTTACAGTTGCTTGGGTGAAACGCCTTGCCTCCTTGGAAACTTTGTGTAGTTGAACTGACACTTCCTATTGTTGCAGTATGAAGTTCCCATTGAACAGGTCACTTAAACATATTCTACTGAGCCAGGCATGGAGCAAAGATGTAATCCCTGTACCAGGAGGCCTGAAGCAGGAAGAGTTTAAGCTCCAGACAGCCTGGGCTATTTCCTAAATTCTAGCCTGGGCAATAGTGTAGGACCCTGTCCAAAGCAAAGTATTTAAAGGGTTTTGGCACCACCTGTGCAATATATAAGCTCCTGAGATCCATAGGAAATATATAATGTCCACATAAAAAAGGACTGATATATAAGGTCTGTAGGAAAACAGCCAACCAGAACCATGTAGGGGTCTAGTGTGTCCTGTGTATTCTAGCTAATGTTTGAAAGTACACACCTTTAATCCCAGAGGCAGGGGGATCTCTGTAAGTTTGAGGCCAGCCTGTCTACAGAGAGAGTGTCAGGTTAGGACAAGCTCCAAAGCTACACAGAGAAACCCTGTCTCGACAAAAAAATAATTTTATGGTTGGGGGTTACCACAGCATGAGAAACTATATTAGAGGCATCAGGAAGGTTGAGAACCACTGCCATAGGTGTTACACAGAGAAACCCTGTCTTGAAAAAGAAGAAGGAGAAGGAAAAGGAGGAGAAGGAGGAGAAGAAGGAGGAGGAGGAAAGACTGTAAGAGATAGAGGGGATGGCAGACACCAAGGAAATAAAGCCTTCTAAACTTGCCAGGACTGACAAGAAGAAGAAGAAGAAGAAGAAGAAGAAGAAGAAGAAGAAGAGATGCTCACCCTCTCCTTAAGGTCTGGCAGTTTCATTGGGTTTTATCGGGTGAAAATCAGAAGAAATTAACAAACCTCACTCCTGCTAGCTTGCTTTCTTAAAGATTTATTTTATTTTATGAGCACCTGAATGTATGGAAGTGCACACTGTGTGTGTCTGATGCTTGAAGAAGCTAGAAGAGGGTTACAGAACTCTCAGAATTAGAGTTAGAAATGGTCGTAAGCACCCATGTGAGTTCTGTGAGCTGAACCTGAGTCCTCTGCATGAGCAGCCAGTGCTCTTCACCAATGGCCATCTCTCCAATCCCAGATGTATCTTTTTATCTCTGTCCTCACATTGTCTCAATCCAATATTTGTCCTCTACCAAGAATGAACAGAATAAGCACACGCGCGCCTGTAGAGGACAGCCATCCCTAAGAAAACTTACCTAGGGTCACAGCTCCCACGGCACATGCTTGGGCAGCAACCCGCACATGGATGAGACGAAGGGACACCTTCTCCTCTCTTCTGGACTTTAACTTGTAAAGGCCATAGGACAGCACAGCCACAAAGCCCACCACCCCTGTGGATTTTAAACATGAGTTGGATCAACAGGAGGCAGGAATTCCCCTTAGCCAAATGAAGCCCGTGTAAAGGACAACTACCCTTCAAACGACAGTCACACCCAGGATCAGAAGCGAGGGTTGCAGGTGTTGAAGGATTTTGGAATATCTGCATTATAGGATACCTTGTGATTGAGAGCTAGGTCTGCAAACCTGTGTGTGTCCCACACACCCTACTCAGCTGGACTGTAGGAGTCTTGTATGTGTTTAGAGTACCTATGTTCTGACTGTGGCTTATCACGTGAGAACAGGTGTGGAACTCTCCACTCAAGGCATCTGATGACTCAGATTTTGGAATATATGGAATTTTTGGATTTCAGATGCTGAACCCATACCAGAGAGGACATTAAGAAGAACTATAGTGGAGGGCTTGCCTAGCACACCTTGAAGCCCTCACTAGGACTGTCCCAAGCACTGCATAAAGCTGGTAGATGGTGTAGATCTGTAGCCTGGATGTAGCTACATAGGGAGCTAAGGCTAGCCTGGGCTACATAAGACCTATGTTCTGGCTAGGTTTTTGTCACCTTGATGCAGAATAAAGTCATATGGGAAGAGGAACCACTATTGAGAAAGTGCCTCCATCAGATTGCCTGTAGGTCTAAGAAAACAGGTTGAGCAGATCGAGCCAGTATGCCACATTGCTCCATCGTGCACTCCAATCCCTACCTCCATTCCCCGCCTCCAGCCCCCCCCCAGTCCCTACAGACTGTAAGATGAAATAAACTAAATAAACCCTTGCCTCCCTGTGTTGCTTTTGGTGGTAAAGTTTATGTGTATACGTTTATGCACCCCATGTGTTCAGTGCCCACAGAAGCCAGAAATGGCATTGGATACCCTAGGCCTGCAGTTACAGATGGTTGTGAGTTGCCATGTAAATGTTGGGAATTGAACCTGGAAGAACAGTCAGTGCTCTTAACTACTGAGCCATCTCTCCAGCTTCTAGACATGGTGTTTTATCACAGCAATGGAAACTTCACTGAACAATAAGCATACTTGAAAATATAGTTTTTTAAATATTTATTTAGATGTTGTGGTGTTTGTGAGGTTGAGAGAAAGAGAGAGAGAGAGAGAGAGAGAGAGAGAGAGAGAGAGAATTTGAGAGAGAGAGAGAGAGAGAATTTGAGAGTATTTAGGAACCGGTTTCATATTTCCCCTTGCTAACTCAGTGCAAATCGCAGGCTAGCTTGCCCGTTTTCTACCTCCCATTTCACAATAGGCTCTTTCTTTCTCCTTTCTTCACTTTATTTTATTTTAAACTCAAGAGCAATTTCATTAGAGTTTAAAAGTAATCTAATGCCGTAAATCTCTTCTGGCCTCCAGGGGCACCAGGCATGCACATGGTATAGAACTATACAAAGCTATGAAAACACCCATACATATAAACAATTAACAAATAAATCAGAAAATGTTTAAGTAAAACTCTTCTTAAAAACATAGTGCTGTTCTACTTGGGGTTCTCTGGTCACCCTTCTGATTTATGTATCTCTCCATCAGCAGCCACAGTGTCTGGGTTGCCCGAGCTAGGAGGCAAAATGCCTCCTTCTACTTTATCTTAAGCAAACAAACAACCCAGAAGAGAACATGGGCACGTACTTGTTGTCCCAGCACTTGGGAGGTTGAAGCAGGGGATCAAGGAGTTAGAGGCCAGCCAGAGCAAGACAGGGACACTACCTCAAAAAACAGAAAACAAAAGCCCAGAGTCTTGGTGCACTTACCCATCATGATCAAAACCTCTAGACTGGCCTCAAGCTCTGGAAAAGAAACACTGTTTTAGCTGTTGGAGAAATCATGATTTCCAGATGCTAAATGTGTCTATGTGTGTGTGTATAGGCATGCTTGCACCTGTATACACAACATATAGTGACCAGAGGACACCCTAAGGGTGTCTTTTCTCATGTGCCTGGAAATCACCAAGTAGGCCCTGGCTGCCCAGGGAGTCCTACAGATCTGCTGGCTGCACCTCCCCAATGCTGGGTTTACAAGTGAGTACCTCCACACCTCTGGCCTTTTTATATGGGTTCTAGATTTCAAATTCAGGTTCACATACTTGCCTTGCAAGCTTTGTAGCCACAAAAACCTTGTTGGGATTGTAATGAGAATTATATTAATCCTATAGATCTGTTTGGGGAGACCTGACCTCTTTACTATATTACAATATATATTACCAATTCATGAACATAGTACTATATTAAGATACTATTCTTACTATATTAAGCTATACATTTATTTTATATATATATATATATATATATTAATTACTAATTCATGAACATAGTAAATAGTCTATTTATTCAGGTCATTTGTGATTTATTTCATTAGAATTTTGCAGTTGTCAACATACATGTGTTAAGTTTATACCTAAGTATTTATTTTCACTGGTCGGTGGTGGCACACACCTTTAATCCCAGCACCTGGGAGGCAGAGGCAGGGGGATCTCTGTGAGTTTGAGACCAGCCTGGCCTACAAGAGCTAGTTCCAGGACAGCCTCCAAAGCCACAGCGAAACCCTGTCTTGAAAAAAACAAAACAAAAAAACAAAAAAATTAAACTGCTCATGTTTCCTAATCTAGAAATTTTGCTTTTAGAATATAGTCCAAGAAAATAAAGAAAAGTACAGAATATTACACAAAATTATTCATGATTGTACCATGTCTGAGGAAAAACAAAAAATTCTAAGTGGCCTGAACAGAAGGAAAAACTGTATATTTGCAAACTGTTGTAAGAAGAGATCTCTGTGAGTTTGAGTGCAGCCTGGTCTACATAGGCAGTTTCAGGTCAGCCACGGCTACATCAGGAAACCACATCTCAAAAACAACAAACAAGAATAATCAGATTTATTTTTATTTATCTTACCCCAGGGCCTAGGTGTGCCGGGCAAGCACTCTAGTTCTAGGTCCCATCCCAATAAATCATATTTGTAATGATGGAAATGATTTCAGGCAATCAATGGAAATACTTTGTCAATTATCTGTGTGACACAGTCCATCCCATGGCAAACTACCTGTAAGTATTGTTAAAATTACAAAAGCTAAATGGAACTTCAATGATACATAACAAATTTTATCCTAATTTGTTTTCTAGCAAAACCCTGAGTCTTCCCTTGATCAGGTCAGGATCTGTGCTCACTGAAAGGGTTTGTGCCTTTGGGAGATGAGAACCAGCACCTTCCCTGTTTCAGTGTCTCTGGTCTGCAGGTAATTAAGTTTAGCTAGGGACACTTTCATCTTTCTGCATTAGTCACACTGTTCTCCAGAACACTAATTTATTGTATAACAGACCCCGTGCTTAATCTGTTCATTACCAGGATCTGTTCAAATAGCATCCAGGGACTTGTTCGTGTCTTCTGTTGTTCCCTCTTTTGAGGCAGGCTCTTAGGTAGCTCACACTGGCCTGAGCTTACTCTGTGGTGATGATGACCTTGGACTTCAGATCTTCCTGAGAGCTGGAATTACAGATGTCATCTGCCACCCCTGCTCTCTGCCATAAGGAGACTTGAACCTAGCACTCTGCACAAGCTAGGCCAACTGAGCAACATCCCAGCCCTCAAGAAGTCAAGTTTTCCATCACACCTGACAGTAATGAGAGGAAAATCTAACAGCAGACACCAAGACTTAGAAGTGATGCATAGAGCAAAGAGACAGATAGTTTGAGTCAACCCTTAGGATGCTAAACTGCTGCTCCGGTCCTCTGTCAGAAACGTGTGAGTCTATTCAGTGAATTCTATTTGAGTCAGTATGAACTAATACTTTTAGACAGACCTCTAGGGGCTGGCGAGATGGCTCAGCACGCACAGGTGCTTGCTGCCAAGCCTGATGACCTGGGTTTGATCCCTGGAATCCACATAATGGAAGAAGAGAACCCATTCCCAAAAGTTGTCCTCTGACCTCTACAAGCATGATGTTGCATATGTGCAACACCCCCCCACACACACAAACACACCAAAATATATAAGTATATGTAAAAACATTAGTTAGGCCTTTGATGAACTATGTAAAACGGAATAAAAAAGATAGCTGAAATTCACTGGCGTCTGAGCTAGAAAGTAGCTCCAAGCTCAACCCCTGTTGCTCCGAGGGGCAAGTCTTGGAAAATCAGAGCTTGCACAGACATATGGGGAGTGTCACTCTTGGAGATGCTGAGTTCTTTTTCATCATGGTTTTTCCTGCAACTGTCAAGGTGCGCACTTACCCACAGGGACGAAGGGGGAGTCTCTGGATTTCCTGCGGAGACGGGACAACTGGCCTTCATCCTCAGCTGCTGACCACTCATCTGAAGACATGCTTCTCTCTAGGGACAATGGGCTCTGTGTGGTTGCTGCCATCATCCCAAGAACCTGTTTCCCCCTTGCTACACTGCTAGGGGCCTGTCTGCTCAACTGAAACAGGCAGCTGTTCTTCCCTCCATCACACTTCTCACTGCAGAATCCCAATCGGCGGGGGTGGGGGGGGTGTAAAATATTTGTGGAGAGAGAAACGGGCAGTTAGAAGCTGTGAGTACAACACCTCAATCCCCATCCAGTCCCCTTTCCCAGTATGACATTTGAAGTCACCTGGAAGCTCAGGACTTCTCCCCAGACAAGACCACAGGCTTTCTCTTAGGGCACCAACATAACAGAAATAGTCTGGTGTCGAGGTGACGGGATCTACCACTCTACAGGATGTGCAGAGCCTCCCACAATTGTTCAGATATGTACTGGGCATGCCTGGTCTGTATGCGAAAACACACTCAGTGCATGGTGTTCCAGTCTGGTGTCTGTGCAGCCCACCTGTCCATGTGAAACCATATATAGTGTACGGTACTCAAACACAGGAACTCCATTTTATGGATGAGATTTCAACAGAAAATCAAACCCAGTAAGAGGCACCATACCTTGCACGTGCTGGAACACAATCCCACCACTTGCTGACTGTCTCCTGCTGGGCTTGAGCAGCACAGGTACAAGGCTGCCACAGACCCCTGTGATTTCCAGCTAATTGGTGATCATATGAAAGCTGAGAGACAACCCTGGGGGAGTGGCCAACTGGCATTGGCTGAGGTCTCCCAGCCGCCTGCTGAAGACCCGGCAGCAGCAGCAGTAGCACCATGCCAGGAACGTCAGGCTTTGGAAGATTCTATGTCTCATTTGCTTTTTCGAGACAGGGTCTCAAGCTATAGCCATGGCTTTCCTGGAGCTCACAATATAGATCAGGCTGGCCACGTACTCCGAGATTTGCCTGCCTCTGCCTCCCGAGTATTAGGATTAAAGTTATGCACCACCACACCTGGCTAGAAGAAACTCTTACTCTTCAGGGGTCTCCTGAGTCCTCTGTGACTCTTAGATACCCTGCCCAGGACCGAAGAGAGGGAACGTCCAGGGGTGCTATTCGGGAAATGCCATTCAAGGCCAAGATCCAACTCATTTTAGGAATCCGGCACAATCCTGACTCTGGGCTGCATGGAAGGATACAAGTAAATAAGAAGAAATAATAAGAAATAACACGGGACAGCTGGGGCTTGTAGCTCAGTATTGGAGTGCTTACCTCACATACATGAGGCTCAATGCAAAGTACAAAATCAAAAAGCAGCTACCAGAAACATGAATGACACACAGCAAAAAATGTCTTCCAATAACCAATAGACAGCAGATGAGGACGAAGGCCAATTATCCTGACTTCTAAGGGTTCCAGGAGCCCCTTTGTTTCAGAGGCACCTGTGGGAGACTTCACACCTGCAGCCTATACAGATACTCAAGTCCAGGGACATCCCTTAAAAAGGACCACGCATCCCTGCCTTCTGATCAATCAAAGGCAAGTCAGCAGTGGAGAAGGCACTGAGAGCTGGTCAGAGGGTGACTTGCACCCTAGGTCATGAGAAGCCTGTGCTGGCTTCTGTTGTGTGTGTGACACTCTTGAGTCTTCAGAAATCTCCCCATCTTGATGGCACCCCCCTCCAGCTCCAGCTCCACCCATCTCAGCATGAAGGCTTCGACCAGGTAGAGTTCATGATTTTTGGTTTTTTTCCTTACACCTTTTGGCTAGAACCCTGGGATGCATCCCCTTGCTTTCTCTTTCTCCCCTCTGGTAAGTTGCAGACTGATTGTCCTCGCTATGTTTTTCGGGTGCATTTGGGGCATTCTCTTGCATAACTGTTAATGCAATAGAAGAAATTCAAGTGTCATCTGTCCTGTGTCTAACAAAACAAAATAAAAGTTTACACTTTTTTATTGCATTTATATATACTTCAGGGGGCAAGGAGCACATCTATAGAGGTCTAAAGACAACCTGTGGGAATCAGGTCCACGTTTACAGGTGGACCCGTTTACATGTGGTCCACATTTACAGGTGGACACGTTTACAGGTGGAAACCAGAAATCGAACTCAGACCACTAAGCTTCGCAGCAAGCCCTTTACTGGCTGTGCCAGCCCTCCAAAAATTACTTTTCAAATATGTGTGGGGTTTTGTTTTATCTAGGATCCAATCAGGATTCCATATTGATTGTCTCGTGGTTTCAGTCCTCTTGATCTGAAAGACTGCTTTAATTGATTCTGACTTTCATGACCCTGATGTTACCAATGTAGGCTTTTCCCTTTAAGGTACTAGGAATTAAACCCACGGCCTAGGGCATGCAAGGCAAACACTGTTCCTCCAAATCGTCCCCAGCCTACTTATTTTGTAGGATTTAAGCAAAGTTTCCCTGTTGTTTTCTCATTAGGCTGAGACCTCACACTTCAGAGCTGACAATGCTCAATTTAGTCCCTAATAACACACACTCACACACACTCTGACACTCACTGTCTCACACACACACACACACACACACACACACACACACACACACACACACTCTGACACTGTCACACACCCACATTCTCTTCTACACAAAACCCCTCACACTCACACACACAACAAAGCAAAAACCAGTAGCAGCCCAGATGTGGTAGTAAGCAGAGGAAAGGGTTTGGAGGGAGAAGTAAAAGTGAAGGTTGGGCAGGTTCCTTTGCTTTTATGGGAAGGAAGGGGTGGGTGGAGGTGTCAGGACAGAAGGGATCCCTGGAGAGAGGGAGACAAGCCTATTAAAGGAGCCAGGCTCTGGACTAGCTTGCAGACCAGATAAGAAACAACCTTATCCTTAGGCCACAAGAGGGGATGTGTCTTGTGTTAGTGTAGTGGATGAGGAGAGGGCGTGGCACCCCCGGGGGGGACGGGGGACAGACGGACATAGATCCTGTAGGAAGGCACAGGGCAAACAGCACAGAAGACACACATGTGGGACCAGGAGGAGAGCAGAAGGCATGGAAAGGGCGGTAGAGGACAGAGCTGTGCCCCAACAGGGCCACATTGTAAGAGCCTGGCATTTTATCATCAAATGTTTTCATTTGGGGCTGAGCATAGAATCCAGGGCCTTGTCCCCACTAAGTGTGTGTCCTACCATTGAGACGTGTCCCTTTACCTGCCCATGTGTGAAACCGTCAACCCACCTCACGGCCTTGAGCATTCTAGACAAGTGTTCTACCGCTGAGCTCCATCCCTAGCTTTGTATTTCATTTAGTTTTTAATTAGTTGCCTTATTGTGTGTGTGTATTTGTGTGTGTGTGAGAGGGAGAGGGAGAGTTTTACATATACATATGCCTGTGCAGCAGTTGAGGTCAAAAGAGGACCTCGGATCTCCTGGAACTGGAGTTACTGATGGTTGGGAACTTCTATGTGGGTGCTAGAATTGAACCATTGGTCCTCTGCAAGAGCAACAAGAGCTCTAAACAACCAGCCATCTCTCTGGTCCATTACACACACGTGTGTAGGTCAGAGGCAAACTTGTGGGAACAGGTTTTGTCCTACTGTATGGGTTCCAGAGGTTAAAGAGGTTATCAGGCTTGGCAGCAAGCCCTCTCATGGGCCCAAGCTTTGTTTTTATTTATTCGGTTTTTCAAGACAGGGTTTCCCTGTGTAGCCCTGGCTGTCCTGGCACTCACTCTGTAGACCAGGCTGGCCTTGAACTCACAGATCTTCCTGCCTCTGCTCCCTAGTGTGGTGATCAAAGGTGTGCAACACCACTGCCTGACTTTCAAGACAGGGTTTTTCTGTGTAGCCCTGGCTATCCTGGACCTCAGGGTATCCTTGAACTTGGAGATCCACCATCGCCTCTGCCTCCCAAGTGCTGGAATTAAAGTTGCTGCACCACCACCATTCAGAAAAGCTTTGCATTTCAAATAAAGGATTTTGAGCTCTAATCTGAAAGCCATGAATCTCCACAGAGAGATTTCAGACGGTGTAGTGGAGGCTCGGTGGGAAGGGTCAAGCTGTACAGATAAAGCAAGGAGGGACCCTGAAGGAAGGAAAGCGATGAGGGGAGTTCTAAAATGAAATTACCGTTTTCAGCTCCAGTGGCAATGACAAAAGCCAACCAGATAAAATCCTCGAGAGGAGCAGACTGGGTGGGGTACAGAAAGGTCTGGTTGGAATCGGCAGATGTGAAGATAACAGGCCAGGAAGGCAGGGCAATGAGAGGTACAGTGAGTGGGCTCATAGGCTGCTGCCCCTGGGGAGACAGGAGCTAGTGTAGGTTCTTTCCTGAGACACTCTGGTGGGTGGTGGAGACACATTTCTAAGTTGAGAACAGGCTCAGTGGGAAAGACAAAAGACAAAGAAGCCTTAGGAAAGGGAACTTCTGAGTTTAATGTTTTGCATGTGGCATTGGTAGATGATGACACCATGCTTACACAAATGCTTGGCTGTGTTTTCCTCCTGAAATAGTGTGTTTATTGTAGAAACATTTTTTTTTTTCCTTGAGGCACCGAGTATCAAATTCAGGTTTCTCACACACCAGACAAGCACGGTGCCATGAAGCAGTATCTCTGCCCTGCAGGAATATTTTTTTAATAATTTTTGTGTGTGGATATTTTGCATGCATGTATTTGGTGTGCATGTGCACACAGCTCCATAGAGGCCAATGGAGCCCCTGGGACTGGAGTTACAAGTGGATGTGAACTGCCATATGGGAGCTGGGAACTAAGCCTGGGTCCCCTGGAAAAACAGTGCTCCTACCGAGCCATCTCTCCAACCTTGGTTGTTGCTATTTAAAGGGAAGATCTGCATTTTTTTTCCTCACATTTTCAAGGTTGTCTGCATTTTCCTCCACAAGGTTAAGGATTGGGCCCAGTTTTTACTGTTAAAGGAACAGTAAAAATAAAAAAGGAACTTTTATCTTTTCCCGAACACTTGTCATCTGTGTTTGAACATTCGTCAAAAGTTTCTTTTTAGATTTTTTTCCCAGGAGTCTAGAATATTTTAATTTTTCCCAGA